CACTTTTTATCCAAGTGATCTAAATTTATAAAATAATTATGAAAAAGCGGTCACCTCTCAGTCGAACAGTCTCACTTTGTAATTTTCTTAATAAAAATTATTTATTATGTGTAAATCATCGATATACTTTCTAGATCGGCTCGTGTGTAAAATAAAGTTTTTGCAAGAGAATCGAAACAGAAACGCATGCAGCATCGAAAAAATCAGAGTAACGACCATTGAACGGAAAATTGCCAATGTACATGGGGCACTTTCTAAGCGACGAGAAGGTCAGCGTTTAAATAATTGTCGTGTGCGAGATTAGCGGGAGCGCTGGCATTTTTCGTGGCTTGAGCGGCCAAAATTGTCTTGCGAAAACTCGGGCCCCTTATTTTTAGCGGTACCACTGGGTCTCGGCGTTGGGTGCTCGTACGATTTTACGTGGCAGGCGCCGAACGCAAATCGGCTTCCCCGACGCAGCTGGTGAGACTCGTCGCCACGCCTTCCTTTCCTCAAAGACGGACTATATCTCGGCGATGATTATTCGCGTCACGCGGGCGGATGCACGAGGAGGAGCCTCGCCTCGTATTTCGTAGATCCTGGCTCGGATCGCCGCTGCGATAAGAATCGCAGAGGGATTTCCACGAATGGCTTCGGTATTTGCTGGACGCCACGGCAATTAAGTGCAGCGTGACGCGCTTCCTCTTTACAATATCATTGCTGTTCGCCCGCGTTGTTCGATAAGACCACAAAGCTGCCCGGGATTTCAGGGGAGAAACGACTCGATTGGGATCTAATGCTCGTTTGCTTAGATCTCTTTTGATCCGTATAAAACCAGTCTCTTCTATTTGTTTACCATTCTCCGTGTCTTATCTGATTAATTCAACGAGTGCAGCTCACTTTTCTCTCTTTACGCGACAACATATACGCGAACCAATGCCCCGATACGGATCTTTAATAAAACTGAAGCAGTATTGACATTAAGAACCTTGATATAAATACCAAAGTTATGTACGAAAACTAAAATAAAACGAAAACTAAATTTTGTTATTAATTTAACCACCACCTACAGCAAAAGCATGCATCTATGCATCTATTTATATATTAAATGGACAAACACACAAACACACCAACACACGCTCACACAAAATATGCAAAGAGGACCTGTATGTCGTATGGGAATTGTGACTCCATAGAGATAAAATAGCTTGCGGTATAAATTCGACTTAACGACATCAATCACTTATAAAACAAGCAATTCTATTAAATTGGCTTTCATTAATTTCTAATTATTACAGACAATTTATTGAACTTCAAGAAACTACAATTTTGCAATTATTACAAATATTTTAATATGATTTTACTGGCAGAAGACCCTTTCACGTAATTTTTAAATTGAATTACATATCGATGATACGTCAGATGCTACGCAAAATTAAGCTTTGCGTTTAAGGCAAAGCGTAAATTAATTTTGCCAATACAAAATAATTATTCTTATATTACATTTTTCGTGCGCAAAGAATAATTATTATTCCTATTGCCATACCCTTTGAAGCAATTGAACATTAATTACTTGAAAAATATTCATCAATTTTAATGATACATAGATTTATTGGTTTATATTTCAAAGTAATAAATTTGATAGATTCGAATAAAAATTAATAAGAAAATTCAACCGTAATATAATAGATTATATGTATAATATAAGAATTTTTTACTTTTTTACTTTTTACTGAGGTAAAATTTGACTGTTTTACGGCATTATGTACGGCAGTATGCTTCGTTGAAATAAAAATTCTTAAAATACTTAATTAAAAAAAATCATTTGAATTATATTTTTTTCTCTCCTATAATCGAAGTTGTTAACATGATTTTATAAATTTAAAGTTGTTTACAGCTAATATTTAATTAATCGAGTGCTTAATTGATATTAAATCATTTCTATTTACTATATACTTTTCAAAATATTATCAAGTATTATATTATATTATAGGGTAATAAAATTTAAAATATCAAGAACTTTTATAAATATAATAATGTAAAATATTTTATAATATAAAATAAAAATACATGCCGAGATTAATATACAACGTTTATCAATATATTCTATAAATAATTTTTAATGGATAGAGATTGAATAATGCCTTATAATGCTACATTTTCATTAAAACGAAAAAAAAAATTTATGTAAAAGACTTTTGTGATCGTTGTAATTTGAAAATAAAAAATAATGTAGAAAAGCTTATTTGGAGACATGGAATTAATAAATAAGCGTTAGATGGCTTTTAATACGCCAGTAATAATCCTTTCGAACCAATAAACATTGGCAATATATTGTTAAAATAAATATTTTATCTCGATGAATTATGTGAAACTTTATTTCTGTACACTAAGTATTAATTGTAATTTATGGCTCTTTAATTTGACGTAAAATTCATTCTAATATGTTAATTGCTATAATTCATAGCCAATGCAAGTGTAAAATAATTTATCCTCTTATTGTTATCAAAAAATAATTACTATACTGTTATCGAGGTACCTAATCATAATATGAGAGCGTGTATATTTTGTAAAAATTACTTTGTGCTAAATATTCATTAGTTAAACTATTTTGCTTTGATTACAGATTCTAATTGTAATGTCGAGATCTGTTTAGGTAATAAAAAATTCTGTTATTGGAATATTATGAGATAGATGCGAATTAATTTAAATAAATAATGCGAAGGACATAATATATATTTCGTATTTCAATTATAATGAGATAATCTTATATTGTAATTAAATATATGTATAATTGTATATTGTGCTAAACCAACATTTATAAAATTAAGCAATATACATTCGGAAAGAAATATTTAATTTATCAATTAAATTTGACACGGTTTTATGAAACTTGAAGAAATTAAATTATTATAATGTGAAGTAAAAACAATAATTTTAATTCATTTTGCGAAATCAATATTATAGACGCATTGGAGTCTTGCCAACGGTTGACATTTTTATTCCACAATCGGCTAAAAAAAAACTACTTTAAAAAAAAACATAATAATAATAATAATTATCTACCACCTGGAAATAAGTATTTCAAACTCAAGAGATGTAAATATTATAAAAAAATATTGCTCTATGTAATTAAAATTCTTTTAGTTTGAAACATTCTTTAGACTCGAAGGAAGGACATACAACGGATGATGCAGATATTCGATAAAGATCTAATAAAGCCAGAGTTAGCTATTTTTATTTTAAAACATGGTGGAAAAGATTTATTGCAGACATTCCCGATACTAAATCGATTGGCACTCACAATAGACGAAATAGCTATATAAATCATCTTTCTCCTTGTATGCATTTTAAGGAATAATTTACTAATGCACAATACCCGTATGCACAATCCGTCCAATCGAAATATTTTGCAACAGTACGTTTAAACGTTAATCATTTTTTGTTCC